TGGACAGCCCACAAAGCGTGGCCCCTGGTCCCCTCAGCACTGAGAGAAGCGTTATTGCCCTTCTCTCGAGGTGCCCTGGCTGGGCAAGTTCCCGGTTTTCCAACCACCTCCATACCAATGTAACCCATGGGTAGAGCCTGTGGAGCTGCTGGGCAAGGATTGATGGAAGCAGACCGATCCTTGTCCTCAGAGCATTCCAACAAGACCTGGCATGGCCCTGGCACAACAGGAAGGAGAGAGAGACCAAGGCTCTGTTGTCAAGGAACTGGCTACTACTGAGCTTCCAGGACAGAAAATAGGCATTGCAAGAGACCACAAAAACAACGAAACCCAAAGCTAAATGAAGACTGCAATGAGGATCTGCTGTCTCCTCCATTTAAAGTTAAGCAGAGAGCAAAACATAAACAAGGGTGGCCAGAATCAAACCAATGCTGAAGAAAACCATGAAGATGTGGGGCATGGTGTCAGAGCAGGTGTGACGGTCCCTGGCTCTGGTTTCCAGGGGCTTGACCACTCGCTGCTGCTGGGTGAGGATGGCCTCCCGGGCACCCGCCCAGTGGCCGGGGCCCCGCAGGCGGTACTGGTACGGCGTGCAGGGCCCGAAGAACACCTCCAGCGCCAGCCTGGGGTCCGTGAGGAAGAGGGCGAGCAGGTTGGGCTTGACCCCCACCTGGGAGGCAAGCTCATCCATGTAGGGGATGTAATCCACCTGGATGGTGTGGCGCTGGCTCTTCACGTACCTGTGGGCAGGGAGGGCAGGTGTGTGCTGGCAGTTTGGCAGGTGGGCAGGAGGGTAACAGGGACAGGGGCAATGCCTGCACGGGGTCCTTACCGCTTGGCCATGTTCTCCTTGGCCTGCGCAATGTCAGCCAGCATGTTGGCAGGAGGCGGCAGGATGTGCAACCCTGAGGAAGAGGAAGCTGTAGGTGGAGGAAGGACTGTGCTTCTGCCATGACTGGCTGGCTCTGCAGCCCAGCCTGGCCTCTGCTTGTGCATAGAAGCCTTTCATGCTTTGGGGACGTGCCACCACCTCAGGAGCAGAGTGGGAGGCACGGGTGAAGAAAGTAAGAGGTGGAAAGGAAAGGGAGAATGTGGTTTGCAGGCAGTGGGACCTGTCAGTGGCCCCTGCCAGAGAAGTTGAAGGTGAGGCTTGTTACAAAGTACAAGGCTGTTTTTTGTCCCCATGAAGAATCAAAAGGAGGCTAACAAGGTGAGTGGAAGGAGATAACATGAGGGGATGCCACCAGCTGAACAACTTGGCTTTGGAGTGGCCAGGGAAGCTCAGCTGCATCCTTCCAAACTGCCTCACTTACCCTTGAAGATACGAGTGGCCCAGCGACACTGGAGCTCAGAAATGGGCATGAGGGGACCTGCAGGCTGAACGAAGCCAATGAAAGCCAGCGTGGGCTTCTCCAGGTCAGGTGGAAACATGAATTTGTAGAGGGGGATCTGGTTCTCCACCACCTTCACACAGCCCTCGAGGAAGGGGAAGGAGAAGCTGTATCCTGTGGCAAAGACCACAGCGTCGATCTCTTCTCTGGTGCCGTCCTCAAAGATGGCAGATGTCTCTGTGAACTCCTGGATGTTTGGCTTCACCACCACCCTACCCGAGATGATGCGGTTGGGCAGGTCGTCATTGATGGTCAGGTGCTGATCCAGGACCCTGGAAGACACAGGGAGTCCTCGTGTGGGGCCCAGGCAGTGGGGTGGCATCAGCAGGGCAGTTCTGCGGGCTGCTGCTGCGGCTCTCACCGGTGCTGGGGCTGCAGGCTGTAGAGTGCGTGGTTGAAGCGGGCGTTCAGCCTCCTCTCCAGGAGGAAGCTGAGGGCATTGCGAGGCAGCAGGCTGTAGAGGAGCTGCATGGAGCGGGTGAGGTAGGAGATGTCGAATGGGTAGCCGCCCTCTGCCACCCGGTGCAGCACCCACGTCCCGCGCTTGGTGCTGAGGAAGACCTGGGAGGCAGGAGAGGAGAGGTAGTGGCCTGGCAGCATTGTTGGGACCGGTCTGGGCCCTGGCTGTGCTCCTCAGACAGGGATGGCAGCACAGCGGCTGGGACCACGAGTGGCAGCCGTGCTGAGAGGGGACGGGGTGCTCATGGGTGGGTGCTGGAGGGAGCGGGGACCGCAGGAGGTGGCGGGGGTTTGTTCAATGGCCTCCACGGCCCAACTACGAAGCAGCCCAGCCCCAGAGGCTCTCCCAGCCCACCTGCTTGGCTGCGTGGCTGAGCTCCACAGTAATGTCGACGCCTGAATTCCCGGTGCCAACCACGACCACCTGCTTCCCCGCAAAGGAGTGTGGGCTCTTGTAGTCCCGGCTGTGCAGGTACCAGCCCTCAAACTTTTCCAGCCCTGGAAGAGAGAAGGGAGTTGTGCTGGGCAGGGAGGTGGGGCAGGGGGTGTCTGTTCCCTTGCTGAGACTGCTGGTGTGTTTTAGGAACAGACTAGGGCCAGTGTAACCAATGGGAGCAATGCAGGTCTGGGATGGTGCCAAGAGGCAGTGGCATCTCCAGCCTGGGAGATGCTCAGCATGGCTCTGAGCATCCAGCTCTGGCTTGGGGGCTGACCTGTCTTGGGTCAGGGCTTGGGCTGGAGACCTGCACATTCCCATCCCCAGATCCTCCCACAGTCCATGCCTGGTGCAAGTCATTGGGTGCAGAGGAGCTGTTTGGGTCTGTGCCGTATTGCGAGAGCCTGGTGAGGGTGTGCTCCAGGCTGCGTCCCAGCCACAGAGGACCTGGACGGCTGAAAGCCCTCCAGACATTTTTGCCTGGCATGCAAAGGAGAAGTCCATGAGCTGTAC